GAATTTCCTACTCTATGAACACTACAAGAATTTCGCGGATTAGCGAGGGAATTTAGCGAGGGATTTAAATCCAAGCTATTTCCTCGCTAATTAGCGAGGGACTGGCGAGGAATACAGTTCCTCTCTAATCCCTCGCTAATTAGCGAGGAAATAGCTTGGATTTAAATCCCTCGCTAAATTCCCTCGCTAATCCGCGAAATTCTTGTAGTGTTATCTTACGCCTATGACAGAAGAACGGGTCACTGCAGTTATAAATAATGCATTGGCCTCTTTTTTGCAAACACAAATACCAGAGATGATGATGAGGCAAATAATTCAAGCAGTTCAACCATCAACAACACCATCAACCAACCAACATAGGGAGGATCAAGGACGAGATGATGATTTTACTAGCTTAGGTTGATTATTATTTAGGATGACTTGTTATTTGGCTTTTCTTTTTGTAAGACATTAATTAGTTTAGGTTTCTTTAAGATATAGTATGCACAAGTTGGATTTTGTAAGACATTTAACAATTTGGTTTTGTAAGAGATATTGTTACATGCAACTTTTATTTTAAATCATGTCGAATTAAAAAAAAATTATGTAGTTGATTTAGATTTATTTAAAATATCAAATTAAGTGACATATTTACAGGGATGCATGAGAGAATAATGTAATTAGGAAAGCGAGATATTAGCGAGGGATTCGCGAGGAAACTCAAAAGATATGTTGTGAAGGTTTCGCGAGGGATTAGTGTGGTATTCGCGAGGGAACTCAATCCATATGCTTTGATGGATTTGCGTGGGATTAGTGAAGGATTTGCGAGGGACATATTTGCGAGGGTTTAGCGAGGGATTAGCGAGGGATTAGCGAGGGAACTTAATCGATATGCTTTGATGGATTTGCGTGGGATTAGCGAAGGATTTGCGAGGGACACATTTGCGTGGGTTTAGCGCGGGATTTGCGAGGGACATATTTGCGAGGGTTTAGCGAGGGGTTTGCGAGGAAATATTAAATACAATTAGCGAGGGAATTTGGGTTCTACATTTGCGAGGCGACAGCGAAGAATTAGCGGCACCAATTTGCGACGGACTAGCGAAGCTGGTTGCGAGGGAAAAACGAAGGAATGTAGCGAGGGAATTGCGAGGGATATGCATCCGTCGCTAATTAGCGACTTGAATTTAGCGAGGGAATGATCCCTCGCAAATCCCTCGCTAGTCCCTCGCCATTCTGTTTAGCGAGGGATTTGCGAGGGATTTGCGAGGGATCTTTCCCTCTCTAATTCACAATTTTCTTGTAGTGGAATGTACAATATAACATGGTGTTTAATCAAGTAAAGCCCAAGTGAGAAGCACCCTAGGCCCACCAAGCCCATTGGGCCCACTAAGCTCTGAAGCTGACAAGTCTTCAAGTAATCTCCTGGTCATAGCTCTAGTGGTTGGACCCTTGGTCCATGTTCTTCCATCAAGTAATGCTGGAAACAAATTGGTTATGATGCAATTTCAACTTTATATGAATTTTTTTCTTTAAAGATTCAAAATCCAATCCACGATTTACGCGAATTGTTTTCGTGTCACCTCTAAAAATACAACCTTGCTCGTTGTTAATTCTATGACCATTATAATATAATAAGCAAATGAAAAACATTTTCAAAATGAAAATAGAAATATGCAAAATCAAGATAGGAATATGATAATAAAGAGAAGAGTAGCAAAGCTATAATATGAATCGAAGACTTATAGAATGCAGAATGGTCAAAGACAACAACTCATTCATCTATATATAACAAAACTTCTGAATGATAGACGTCACCCCTGGTGACGTGTTTCATAATCAGAAAACGTGTTTCAGCACCCAGAACTAGAAGGAGTACGTTTACGTGTTTCAGAGGGAATCAGGGTCACATTCAAACACAAAACGTCAGTATCAGTGACGTTTTGTGTTGTTTTTTGTTGATGAATAGAAAACGTCACTGGCACTGACGTTTTTTGTTGCTTTTTGTCAATGAACAAAAAATGTCACTAGTACTGACGTTTTCTGTTGCTTTTTGTTGATGAACAGAAAACGTCAGTACCAGTGACGTTTTTTGTGTGAACAACATCAACTCGTCACTCAGAGTGACGTTTTCCATAAATCGTCATTTACTCTGACGTTTTCTTCTTTCCTCCGTATCCTACGTGTCTAAAATTATTTAATTTGGTAAATTATTTTTTATTAATTTATTTTAAAAAAATTATTTATTTTATTTATTATGGTTGAAAAGCCAGTTATTGACATCGTGAGTGTTGAGAAACATAAGGTGGAGAACGAGAAAGAAATAAAAATTAGAATTGACAAAAAGAAAAAGGAAAAAGCAAATCTCATTTGAGTGCAACAAAACTTTTATATTTGTACTACTCAAGCTTCCATTTTTGGCTCACTCATATTTGGGTTGTTCAATACTCTTATGAACTATTATATATTTATCTTGTGTGTTTATAAAATCTCCAAGTTTGAGAGCAAGATTTTCCTTTTTGAAATTTTAGTTTTTAGCTTTTAATCTCTCAATAATGAGATTAATAAAAATCACTATTATTATCAAAGAGTGCCCATTATAGAGAAAGGAAGATGAAGATTGAAAAAGGTGAAGGATCGAAAGCACTAGGATCACATTAGCAATTTAAATTAATATTTTAGAGGGTTCATCAACAATTTGTAATTTTTATTCATATTACAAATACTACCGGTAAAAGGTAATTAATCTTCTCCTTTCATTATTTTAATATTTTATCTAATGGTTACAAATAGTGGTCCATAGATGCACCACTTAGTTACTCTTTCACCATAGAATTTATCAAAAATTTCTAATCATATAAATTATACTTGCAAAGATCTAATATTGATTTAAAATCATTTTCAAGATCACCCAATGCTTATCTAAGTATCAAATAAAGTTTAAGATAAGACATTTTTTAAAAGTAATTTATGAAAATATAATATTATTTTTAAATTTGTATTTTAAGTTTTTATGGAATACAAAATTATTTATTAAACTATCATAACCAATTTTATTTAATAATTATTTTTAATCTCTAATAAAATTAATTCATTTTACCTTTCTTGTGATACAATGTAAGACTAAAATTAGTTAATTTTTAAGGGACTAAAATCAAATAACTATAATAGGACTAAAATTATTTAATTAAAACTTTGAGAAACAAAATCATACAAAATTGTGATACTTGATGATTAAAAACAAAATTAAGTCATTTGGGTAAAACAAAATGATAAGCCATTAATCATATCATAAACACTACATTACATGCATTTAGTATCCTATTTAATTGATTTTTTTTTTTTTATTTTTCTTGTTATTCTTCTTGAAATTATTATAGTGTGTATCTTTTTCAATAAATTTATGTTAAACATCGAAATAATATTTTCATCACAACAACATTTATTGTCGAAAAACAAAGCATAAAACTAATATTACATGTTGCATTGTAGAATTAATACATATTGAAATAAATGTATATGAACCAATTTTATGTAATTTTAAAATAGAATCTTCATTATCAAATTCAGTATAAAAATAATAATATTATTAACATATACATAAGTTATAGTACATTAAAAAAAATATTAAACTCTATTTTGTATATATTAATTTATAAATATCATATAATCAACTTTTTTTTATTCTTATAAAATAAAGGTAATAATGATTTTAAAATATAAATAAAATATACTTTAAAACATCAATTAATAAAATAAATAATTTTTTAATACATTTATCATTTTATAAAATATATATTAAATCAAATACTGTGCATTGAACAGATAAATATACTATTTGTCTTTATTAGTAGTACTTCCCTTTCAAAATAAACGTTTTGTAGGTTTTGTTGAAATAGTAATGAAGCTGTGATTCTAGGAATTACTAATAAAGGTTTATGATAAAAGGAAAAAGAAACAACTTTTCAAAGAATTTTTATTTAATAATTTATTTTATTAAAAAATACTGACAAGTGTCATCACACTTTTCTTTGTCATTTAAAGAAGACTAACATATAATTTAATCTTTTATTTTACTGTAAAAATTTATTTTAATTTTTATCTTTTAAAATATTTATTTTAATCTTAAATTTTTAAAATTTGGTTAATATTATTCTTTCAAAATCTTTTTATTTTTAATTATTAAATATTATAATCTTTATTTTATTAATTTAAAACGTAAAACTTATTTCATTAAATTCACAATATGAAATTCAATTATTCATAAAATGTATATTTTATCATGATGTAGAGATTGTGTCATCACACATTATGTTGCACCAAATGAACTAATATAACAAATAGATGGAAATTATACTGAATTAGAAAGTAATACTAGTATTAACTTTATGAAGCGATGCATTTCCTCCCAGCTACCACACAGTAGTGGAAGGCAGCCAAACTGATTACTTGAAATCAACATTTCTGTTAACTTTCTTGTCAACCAATTAAACATGCCAACCAAAGAAGACTCTGGGCCATTAATGATTGCTAAGTAGACTAGAAGCAAATAAGCCCCACTACCACTTCTGTTAATAGAAGTAATTGAATGAACATTCACTACCATTCTATTCCACTATGCATGATATGTTATCCTTCTTGTAAAGCACCATGATTTTGTAATTTGTCATTCACACTCAGATTGTTCATACAATATGCCATCTAGAAGAAATTGATACAAAAAATTGACTCTTAGAAGCACAGATGAATCTTTATTAGAATTCGTCGTAAGTGCATGTAAAGTGAGTAATTCTCTTCTTAATATAATTTATTTTATATTTAAAATTAATATTTAAATTTTAAATATTTTAATTAAGATACACAAATCGCTATTATTTATATTAATTAATGTTAGTATAAATATCATGTATGTAAAAATGAAAAAAAAAAAAATGTACTTCAAGCAAGCAAATTAAAAGCTGCATTTTAGTTTGGCAAAAGCATATGAACTCAGTATTTGTTTTTTGGAGATAAAACAGTATTTTTATTTGCAAATAAACTACGTGACCATTTCTTTGTTTCTCTTATACTACACAAAGGACCACTGAATCTAAGGAGCAGAAACCGAACCAAACTGAATCTAGTACTGTTAGTTCAAGCAGCATGACACATTTTTGTGTGAAGCATCCAAAAATGTTGCTTTTTAAAGATAACCAACAACAAAATGAAAGTAGTGGCAACCCCTTTGACTTGATGAGTGACCAAAATTCATGTACATTTATTGCCTCTCTTCTTTCTTTATAAGTCTTCACTGCAAAATCTTTCACAGCTTCTATTTCTTCCATGTGAGCTTCAAACTCCTCAATAGACAAAGATCATAAATTCCTTCTTCCATGGAGTCTCAGAAGCTAATTATACATTTCATTCTTCTCCTTTTGATCCCTTGTTCTTCCTCTTTCATTCCCATAGATAACTACCTTCTCAACTGTGGGTCACAGAACAATGTTTCTCTCTTCAACCGCATCTTCATGAGTGATTCCACCAACCAAGGCTTAACCTTTCTCTCTGCTGACAAATCCATTTCCCTCACCAACCAAAACCCTCATCCAGATTTGCCTACTTTGTACCACACTGCAAGAGTTTTCCGCAGCACAGGAAGCTACAGGTTCAACCTGATGAAGAATGGTACCCACTTTGTTCGTTTTCATTTCTCACCCTTTAAGGCTCAAAGGTTTGATCTAAAATCTGCCATCTTCAGTGTCTTGGTTGATGGCAATTTGTTGCTGAGAAATTTCAAGCCAGGTAATGGTGCACTGCTTAAGGAGTTTATTTTGAAGGTAGAGTCAAATTTGCTAGAAATTGTGTTTAGACCAGAAGGTAATTTAGGTTTTGGCTTTGTCAATGCTATGGAGGTGTTTACTGCTCCTGATGATTTTGTTATAGATTATGGAGCTAAGTTGGTTGGCCCTTTTGGTGTGATGGAGTACAAGAACCTTTCATCTAAGGTTTTGGAAACTATCCATAGAATCAATGTTGGGGGTGCGAAAGTAACTCCTTTTAATGACTCCCTTTGGAGGACTTGGATTCCTGATGAGGAATTTCTTGTTTTTAAGGATGCTGCTAAGCCTGTGGTGAGCTCTCACACACCAAATTACCAGAAGGGAGGTGCGAGTCGAGAGATCGCACCTGATAATGTTTATATGACTGCTCAGGAAATGAACAAGGATCACTCCATTATAGCTTCACAATTCAACATAACCTGGGATTTTCCAGTGGCTCCGGGTGGTGTTCGACACTTGGTTCGGTTGCATTTCTGTGATATTGTTAGTACTGCCCTTAATTTGCTCTACTTTGATGTGTACATCAATGGATATTCTGCATACAAGGATCTTGATTTGTCATCTTTTGCATTCCATGTGCTTGCATTTCCAGTCTACGTGGATTTTGTGGCAGATTCTGATGATTCGGGTGTTATTCGAGTAAGTGTTGGCCCTTCTGCACTGAGCAATTCTATGAGGATAAATGCCATATTGAATGGAGCAGAGATAATGAAAGTGGTCAATGTTGTGGACTCGCATGTTGCTCATAGGAAGAAGAGGTTGTGGGTGGTGTTGGTGTGTTCAATTGTTGGAGGAATTGTTGTTTTGCTTTTAGTTATAGCTGCTTTTCTACTTGCTCTCAAATGTAGGAAGAAGAAGAAGAAGAAATCAAAACCAAGGGCAGTGGAAAGTGTAGGATGGACGCCTTTGCGAGTTTTTGGAGGGAGTTCACTTAGTAGATTATCTGAGAAGACAGCTTTGAACTCTCCTGGCTCTTATGGCTATTGTGGCTTGAGAATCCCTTTTGCTGATATACAATCAGCCACAAATAATTTTGATAGAAGTCTAATTATAGGTACTGGAGGGTTTGGTATAGTTTACAGAGGGGTGCTCAAAGACAATGTGAAGGTTGCAGTCAAGAGAGGCATGCCTGGATCCAGACAAGGCCTTCCAGAATTCCAGACTGAGATAACAATCTTGTCCAAAATTCGCCATCGCCATCTTGTTTCGCTAGTTGGATATTGCGAAGAAAATTCAGAAATGATACTTGTCTATGAGTATGTGGAGAAAGGTCCACTCAAGAAGCATCTATATGGCTCAGCAAGACATGAGCCTTTGTCTTGGAAGCAGCGTCTCGAGATATGCATTGGTGCTGCTAGAGGTCTCCACTATCTGCACACCGGTTTCGCGCAAGGAATCATCCACCGTGACATCAAATCTACTAATATTTTGCTTGACGAGAACTATGTGGCCAAGGTTGCTGATTTTGGTCTTTCAAGATCTGGACCTTGCATCAATGAAACACATGTGAGTACTGGGGTGAAAGGTAGTTTTGGTTATCTTGATCCTGAGTATTTCCGAAGGCAGCAGCTTACAGATAAGTCAGATGTTTACTCATTTGGGGTTGTGCTTTTTGAGGTTCTTTGTGCAAGACCTGCTGTTGATCCACAACTTGATAGGGAGCAGGTAAACTTAGCTGAATGGGCGCTCGAGTGGCAGAAAAAGGGCATGCTGGAGCATATTATTGATCCTTGTCTTGTTGGGAAGATAAAGCAAAGCTCATTGAATAAATTTGGTGAAACAGCAGAGAAATGTTTGGCTGAATATGGTGTTGATAGGCCAACTATAGGTTCTGTATTGTGGAATTTGGAATATGCACTTCAGCTCCAAGAAAGTGAACAAGAAGGAGAGTCATATGATGATAGTGGTGCTCTGGAAACAGTGAATATGACAACTACAATAATTCCTGAGAGTCCTTCTAGCAACATAAGAAGAGAGGGAGATAATGATAATGGTTATTCAGACATGAGTGCTACCGAAGTTTTTTCTCAACTAATGAACACAGAAGGAAGATAGAGATAGAACCATCCTGCAAATAGAGGCAACTCTTGCTGACGTATAAAAAGGTTTACATGGAAATAATGGTTTCAAGCTGCACCTGTGCTTTCATAACTATTTTCTTTATAGTTTTTCTTTTGTTAAAAAAAATTGCACAAAACCAATATTAACATTTACACATTGAAGGGAGTGATAGGCAAGGCTAGTTTATAGTTTCTTACGGATGTTTGGATAATCTTTATTTTCATGATGTCTGACATTGTAGAGATGCAAAGTATCTACCATAGTATAATCTTGTCCAATTATGTTATGTAGCTGTGATCTGTATTTATCAAGAGTTGAATTGGTATAACTATATACGTTGCAATGTTTGCAAGTTCCCTTCCCTTCTATCATTAATTTTTATTTCTTCCGTTTCTGCTTTAGTTGAAAGATGAAGTTGATCTTAATGATGTAACATGAAGTAAAATAGTTGTCATAATTGTTTTAAAAATTGTTATTTACTTATTTTGGCCTGATATGAATTCATTTGGGAAAATCAAATGCACCATGCTCTTCATCCATAGCTTTCAGCATTGTGAGATATAAGATGGGATAGGTAGGCAATCTTGTCCCATGAATGACTTGACAGCTTCCACGAATAACGATCTAATTTCATACAACCATATGTAATACCGTAATAGTTTCCCTTGAGATTTTCCATGAGCAGCAAAGATGGATATTGTACAAGATAGGCTAAATATTGGCAAATTTATTTATTACCTAAAAATCTAAAGGTATAATTTTGTGCCATAGAGGATTTGCCAGATCATAGAACTATTGCTTTAGATAAACTCTTACCAACAGGTGTTCCTTTTGAGTTTAAATGCGTACAACATTTGTGTTAAGAGACTGTGATAAGCAATTTAAGTGAAAAAGACTTCCAAGTTCCCAATAATCAGTGCATTGGAGGATGATCAACAAAGTCTATACAATGCCAAGACCCAAGTTTGATTGATGATCTGAACATGGTTTAAAAGAAATCATTGGCCTGACCTGCATTACGTGCATTTTTTGAGCTGATACCTGCCATAAATAATGAGAAATAGAAGCTTGATCAAATAGAAGCTTCAATAGTGGAGAATAAAGTCTATACTTCCATTCAATAGGATTTCCCCCAACCTGCATATCATATTAATTATGCGAATGATAAATGTACAATAATTTATATAACGAATAGAGAAAAAAAGAGGAAAGAGATTGAAATTTAAAATGCAATAAATAATGTCAGAGGGAAAGATTGATAAAAAAAAAATGTTGTATAAATTGTCACAAGTGTATTGTTACTCATTAATTAATATGTTAACGTGGCATTGAGGTAATTCATATTTGATGTCTCTGTAGATTTTTCTTTTAAATGTAATTCATTTTTTTCCATATCTAATATAGTAAATGTAATTGTTCTCTTAAGCTCCTTATCAGAGAAAATCATAAAAATATACTCCATTCTTGTGTTCTGCGGATCAGTTATATATAGCTCATAGCTCAAGTTAGTTGCTAAGAGATGCTGCAGGTGCCTCGGATCAGACTCTAAGAATATCTGTCAGGATTCAGGAATATACACTTTGAGGCTACATCTACATTTCACGTGCTATTATGTCATTTCTCATTCCTTTTTTTTTTCTCAACAGAAGATCATTTACCATGTAAACTGTATAATGGTCAAAGAATACTTATTCAGTTCAAGATTTTTGGCCCTGCCCAAATTCTTCTCACTCCACTAATTTAAAGAAAGAAATGGATCCTTTCAGATAAGGTTGGAACGATGCATAGAAGAATTTACACACACACACACACTCACAAATGGCTACATGAATTACTATTACCGCAATCATAGGTCCAACCTCTTAAAAATAAGATTCCTAATCAAGTAGGACCACTACATGAACAAAATAGGGATGCCCAGGAAAGGTTGGATTCCACCATTTTGCTTTTTCCATCGTTTAATAGGTTATTCTCTGTATGTATTTCAGAGCTTTCATTCAAAAAGGCTAATAAACTGTGCCCAATCCTGCGGATTTTCCCAATGTGGGGGCAATAGTAGTTTGTCCTACACTTCTTTCTCAGCTTCACTATCAAACAAAAACTTGTGATCCACTTGTAGTTGTCTATTGAGACGCGCTTCTCTATGCTCCCCCCTGCTTCTTAGAGCAATAAATTATTTGCCTAGTGAAAACCTCAATGTTTTTAAGATAAATTTGGATCAAATCAATGGTTCAAATTAAAGGAAATTAAGATAAGTATTTCAATTTATACTACAAGATTAGAGTTAATATGCGGCTTATCAGGTATCAATCTTATAATTGAATTGTGTTTCTTTCGACTAGAATAATATATATTTTATGAAAATGAAGTCAAACATGTATATATATATATATAAGAGTTAATCACTTATACACTATCAGTGTAAAGTTTTTTTACACTGGTAATCAATCAGATCTGGTAATTAAAATAAAATAAAAAAAGGCATTATTAATATATCTGATTGATTGTCAATATAAAATTTTTTACACTGGCAGTATATAGGTGATTAACTCTATATATAAAAGGCATCATAGTTCCTAAATGGTCCAAGTTTAATTGTGTTATCAGTGAATTTCCTTAAATGGGTTCTTTTTATTTAAAATAAAACGGTATTGATTTTTAACTCAAATATACTTTTTCAAACTGTTTGTTTCATTGATGAATTGTGATTTCTATAAATAATTTAACATTATTGTATAAATGTGTTCAATTATATCAAATTCAATGGTGATAAATTTATCAACACATATTTCAACCGAAGAGATCATTACTAAAAATAAAAATAAGAACTAAAAGAAGTAAAAAGTATAACTATAATGATAAGAAGAAAAAAGTGGAATAGAAAGCATACACATAATTCTCAAAACTGGAAGTAATTAATGACAGTAGGTAAATTGGTTTATATAGAGTTTGTGTAAAATATTTTATGACCCCAACAATACTCCTTTTTTTTTTTAATATTTAAACAAAAACGTTATTGGCTAATGATTATAGATCATACGTTTAGCGTGTGGTTCAGCGGTAAGGGGTTATCCACGCTTAAGCAAGGTCAGGGATTTGAATCTTGTCTTGTGTATGCAGCCGCGTTAAATCTTGGGGCCAGCCATCCCACCTTTTGAAGTGCCTCCAACGTAGCGAGAAGATTAGTCACCGCTATCGGCGGTGGATATTCCATGAACGAAAAAAAAAAAAAAACTCATGTGCAACTGTCAAAAACTACTAAAAACTCACATTAACTACTTTGGTTGATTTTTTGATATAATTGAAAAAATCCACTTTCCTATACTAACTTGTTACTTCAAGTGTGTGGAAACTTCTTTCTTCACATTCTTTGATAACACAATTTTGATTCTTTGTCTTTGAGTAAGTCGAAAAAATCACACAACAAATTGAGTAAACTCATTTAAGGAGGAAAAAGTCTTTCTCTGTCATTCTTTTTTTTCATTCACAACATTTAAATCTGAAACTATTTTCAAGGAAAATCAAGGTCCTCAAAACTTGGATCAAAGATTTGTACATAACAAAATATTTTATTTTACTATGGTAATTAGTCCATACACACTCTTTGTTGCATGGATTACAAATTAAGAGGATAAGGAATTGAAGAAAGGGAAGTTGAATTATGATCTCATCGCAACATGGTTTTGCTTACTGCTTAGTGCTTCAACTATACATTACTAGAGAACAGAATTGAGAAATTCTTTTCTAAGTGGTGTTAACTGTTAAGTACAGATATTTATAAGAGGTCACATTATTGAACTACGTCAAAATTTTCATCATTAAAATTGAGTAGTTTAAAATTAATGAACTTTTAGCTTTTGATAAACAATATAATTACTTGAAGGAGCATTTTTCCCAACAATGTTCCATAGCAAATTCTCACTTTTTTAAACAAATGCCATTTTTCTTGAGGGAATTGAACTGATTAGTAAAATATAAAGTTATGCTAGATTTTATGTGGGTTTGAATTTGAATGACAGAAATTGTGGTAGCAAAGGAAAACAAATTTCATTGCTGCAAAAATCAGAGTTTAGCATGGTTGTGTTGTGTGGATTGCTTGAGACATGGAAGATGTGTAGCTGTCGAGACAAGAAGGAAGAACTGACATAATTTGCTAAAGGACAAAACTTTTTAATACCACTTTAGATATTTTTGCTATTCTTGGATTTAAATTAGAGTTTTATTCTAGTAATTAATGTCAATTTTCAATTTCAATTTTTATTACACGAGTTATCATTATCAAGTGAAACTATAACTTTTTTTCTTTAAAGAATATCATTAAAAAAATTTCTAAAATACTGCACTTAAATTTCGTCCATTTGTTAATACTTAATAGCAAATGTCAAAATTGGTATTGAGAGAGTGAGGACTTGAGACTTGAGAGCATCCACCATTAATAAGAAGTGACAACATTTAAATCATTTCACAATTCATTTATATCCATGAGATGAAATTATTCAAGATTTTAATGGAAAATAATTAAATCACCTAGATTAGTATTGATTGGTATTTTTATTTATTTTTTGGTCTTTCAACAGGGTGAAATGCTTGATGCAATTAAGAAGGTTGTGATAAGTAACAAGGCCTCCAGTGAAAAACAAAATTTACAAACACATGCACAGATTCCATACTCAATCTAATGAGTATAGAAGATGCATAAAAAAAAATAAGCATAATTAGTTAGATATAAACATAAGATATCTTATATAATAATAACTGAACATTCATCTTGGTTTATAAGTCATGTGCTATGTGTCCAAAAAAAAGGTTCATAACAAGTCTCAACTCTCAAGTAGGGGTGCGAAAAACTTACAACCCGCCCCGAACCCGAATAAACCGCCAAAAAAAATAAAATTCGTGGTTTGAGAATTTGACCCTAAACCCACCCAAAACCACCCCTACTCTCAAAGTAGATACATAAAATAGCACGTTTATTCTATACCACAAAGAGCAGAGAGCAAAGATAATAATAATAAAAAATAGCACGTTTATTCAAATAAATAGTGAGTGTTAATAATCAAAATAGTAATTATTTGTTCTTTAGAATATGTAGAGGGTTTAGGTATCCTTCTGTTGGATCAACTAGAAAAAGTTGTGTCAAGTGGAGATATTTTGGTAAGCTTTTCTATCTTATGTTAGGCAATAATATGAAAGTTAAATAAAATATTCAACAATTGATCATGTCCTATAACTAAATAATATGATAATTTTTATGATTAAAATGATTTAATAA